AAAGTATATCTTGATAAAGCTGTTTTAAAAGAAAACTTGTAAGATATAGGAAAATTAAAATTTTGAGGGAAATACAGCCTTAAAGAAAGAAAGATGGCTGGGCATGGTGGCTCACATCTGTAATCCCAGCACTTGAGCAGGCTGAGGCAGGAGATCACTTGAGGCCAGGAGTTCAAGACCAGCCTTGGCAACAAAGCAAGACAACAACAGCAACAACAAACCAGAAAGAAAAATATCAAAGTAAAGAGAAGAAAATAATAAATATAGGAACTAAAATTTATAAAACCGAAAATAAAGATTAAACAGAGAGGATTAACAAAGTCAAAAGTTGGTTGGCTAAAATAATAATAATAATAAACCATTGGCAAGATTAATCAAGAAAAAAAGAGAAGGAACAAATGAATATCTGAAATTTAAAAGGGGAGATAACTACTGACATGGCAAAATTTAAAAGATAAAATAATAGCATGAATAGATGTTGAGACTACAGCAATGTTTGTTATATTTCCTTTGTGACTTAAAAAATGTTCTGTATTTGTGGGATATAGGATCATATGCAAAGGCAATTAGCTAACCTTTTGAACATATATTTTGAAGCTAGGTTAGGTATACGAGTTCATGATTACAATGGTCTCTTACATTGTTTCTTTTATCAGTATAATCTATTTATGTGTGTACTTAAAAATACCTCGGCCGGGCACTGTGGCTCACACCTGTAAATTCCAGCACTTGGGGAGGCTGAGGTGGGCAGATTGCTTTGAGCCCAGGAGTTCGAGATCAGCCTGGGCAACATGGCAAAACCCAGTCTCCAAAAAAAAAAAATACAAAAAAATAGCTGGGCAAGGTAGCACACACCTATAGTCCTAGCCACTCGGGAGACTGAGGTGGGAGGATCACCTGAACCCGGGAAGTCAAGGTTGTAGTGAGCCATGACTGTACCACTGCACTCCAACGTGGCTGACAGGAGTGAGGCTCTGTCTCAAAAAATATATATAAATAAAATATTCTTTCTTTTATTTATTAGTCACTTACTATGTGCTATGGAGTTTGTCAATATTACCTCTATCCCTAATGCCCCTGGTAAGATAGGCATAAATAACTCCTATTTCAGATGACACAACTGAGAGAGCCATAAATGATATGTTTTAAAAAGCCAGGATCCAAACTCAGATTTTTCTGTTTCCAAAGCCTGTACTCTTCTTTACCACCGTGGTTCAAATGTATGTTGACTGTATATGTAACATGTATTTATTTTTTAAAAACAACACAAATTTCAGTATGAGGGAAAACTCAAAACTTAATCATGCAATCCTATAAACTGGACTTTTGCATTTTAAAGCACCTATCTTTGGGGAGAGAAGGCAGTGCAAGCTGGCTTAATAGAACTCTCCAGCCATCATTTCCCCTCTATACCCCACAGGAACACCAAATTGAACAATTATCCATACAAGAAAGAACCTTCATAACAACTAAACATTGGGTGAGAGATCACAGTACCTGGTTTTAACCACATATCACTGAAAGAGGCACTGAAGAAGATAGGAAAGACAGTGTTGAATTGCCAACACCACCATTCCACCATGTTGGCAGCAGCCACATGGTGTGGAGAGAGAATCTATGCTTGTGGGAGGGAGAGTGCAGTGATTGTGGGAGTTTGCATTAGAACTCAGTGCTGCCCACCACAGCTGAAAGCAACATGGGGCAGAATTCAGCCAGTACTCACAGAGGGGGCAGTTAGACCAGCCCCAGCCACAGGGGAACCACCCATCCCACTGGTCAGAATCTGAGTTCCAGCAAGCCCCACCATGGCAAGCTAAAGCACTGTGGGGTTCTAAATAAACTTGAAAGGCAGTCTAGGCCACAAGCACTGCAATTCCCGGGCAAGTCCTGGTGCTGTGCTGGGCTTGGAGCCAGTGGAGTTAGGGGACATGTGACCTAGTGAGATATGAGCCAGCCAGCCAGCCAGCCAAGGAAGTGCTTACATCACCCCTCCTCCAATCCCAGGCAGTGCAGCTCACAGCTCCAGGAGAAACTCCTTTCCGCTTGAGGCAAGGAGAAAGGAGAGTAAAGGGGACTTTGTCTTGCAACTTGGATACCAGCTCAGCCACAGTAGGATAGGGGAGAAGGTAGAGTCCCAAGACCCTCATTCCACGCCCTAGCTCCCAGATCACATTTTTAGACATACTCGGTGCCAGAAGGGAATGCACTGCCTTAAAGGGAAGGACCCAGTCCTGGAAGGATTTATCACCTGATGACTAAGAGAACCTGGGCCCTGAATAAACATCAGCAGCACCCAGGCAGTACTCACCATGGGACTTGGGTAAGACCCAGGGCTGTGCTGGCTTCAGGTGTGACCTAGTGCATTCCAAGCTATGGTGCCCACAGGGACAGACTTCCTCTGCTTGAGGTAAGGAGAGGAAAAAGTAAAAGGAAATTTTTATTGCAGCTTGGGCACCAGCTTGGCCACAGTGGGGTAGAGAACCAAGAAGTCACCTGGGGTCCTCAGTTCTAGCCCTTGGCTTCTGGATGGCATTTCTGGACCTGCCCTGGGCTAAAGGGGGGCCCACTGCCTTGAAGGGAGAGTCCTAAACATGGCAGCATTCACCACAAGCTGACTGAAGAGCCTTTGGGCCTTGGGTGAATATCAGCGATAGCCAGGCAGTACCTGCTGCAGGGAGAGACTCCTTCCACATGAGGGGAAGGAGGGAAGAGTGGGAAGGATTTTGTCTTACAGATTTGGGTGTCAGCTCAGGTGGTGTAGAATTGAGAACCAAGCAGATTCCTAAGGTTCCTGACTCTAGGCCCTGGCTCCCAGATGGCATTCTGGTATCTGCTGTAGGCTGGGGAGTAGCTTGCCGCCCTGAAGGGAAGGACACAAGCCAGGCTGGATTTGCTTCCTGCTGATGGTAGAGCCCTTGGACCTTGAGTGAATATTGGCAGTAGCCAAGCAGTGGTAACTGGGGGCCCAGGGTGAGACCCAGTATTTTGCTGGCTTTGGAGAAACTCCACGTGTCTGGGGGAAAGTAAGGGAAAAGAACAAGAGTCTCTGCCTGGTAATACAGGGAATTCTCCCAGATCTTACCCAAGACCACCAAGGCAGTATCTCTACAATTCTGCAAGAGCCACAGCATTACTGGGCTTGGGGTGCCCCACCCCCAATGCAGATACAGCTATCATGACCAAAGATTTAGATGATAACAACTCAGTGCTCTTTGAATACTTGGAAAACTTTCCCAAGAAGGACAGGTACAAACAAGCCCAGACTACAAAGACTAACAAATATGTAACTCTTCAATGCCCAGACATCGACAGATATCCACAAGCATCAAGACCATACAGGAAAGCATGACCTCACCAAACAAACTAAATAGTGTACTAGTGACCAATCCTGAAGTGACAGAGATATGTGACCTTTCAGAGAGAGAATTCAAAATAGCTGTTTTGAGGAAGCTCAATGAAATTCAAGATAACACAGAAAAGGAACTCAGAATCCTATCAGGTAAACTTAACAAACAGATTAAAATAACTTTTAAAAATCAAGCAGAAATTCCAGAGTTGAAAAATTCAACTGATATAGTGAAGAATGCATCAGAGTCAACAGGAGTATTGATCAAGCAGAAGAAAGAATCGGTGAGTTTGAAGACACGTTATCTGAAAATACAGTCAGAGAAGACAAAAGAAAAGAGAATAGGCCAGGTGCAGTGTCTCACACCTGTAATCCCAGTACTTTGAGAGGCCAGGCGGGTGGATCACCTGAGGTCAGGAGTTCAAGACTAGCCTGGGCAGCATGGAGAAACCCTGTCTCTACTAAAAATACAAAATTAACCAGGCATGGTGGTACATGTCTGTAATCCCAGTTATTTGGGAGGCTGAGGCAGGGGAGAATCGTTTGAACCTAGGAGGCAGAGGTTGCCGTGAGCTGAGATTGCGCCATTGCACTCCAGCCTGGGCAACAAGAGCAAAACTCTATCTCAAAAAAAAAAAAAAAAAAAAAAAATTGGGTGTGGTGGCAGGCGCCTGAGGCAGGAGAATCATTTGAACCTGGGAGGCAGAGGTTGCAGTGTGCCAAGATTGTGCCACTGCACTCGAGTGTGGGCGACAGATTCAAATTCTGTCTCAAAAAACAAAAACGAAAAAAGAATAAAAAACAATGAAGCATGCCTACAGGATCGAGAAGACAGCCTCAGAAGGGAAAATATAAGAGTTATTGGCCTTAAAGAGGAGGTAGAGAAGGAGATGGGGTAGAAAGTTTATTCAAAGGGGGTAATAACAGAGAACTTCCCAAACCTAGAGAAAGATATCACTGTCCAAGTACAAGAAGGTTATAGAATACCAAGTAGATTTAACCCAAAGAAGACTACCTCAAGGCATTTAGTAATCAGATCCCAAAGGTCAAGGATAAAGAAAAGATCCCAAAAGCAGCAAAAGAAAAGCAACAAATCACATACAATAAAGCTCCAAAATGTCTGGCAGCACACTTTTCAGTGGAAACCTTATAGGCCAGGAGAAAGTGGCATGACATTTAAACTGCTGAAGGAAAAAAACTTTTACCCAAGAATAGTATATCCAGCTAAAATATCCTTCAAAAATGAAGGAGAAACAAAGACTTGCCCAGACAAAACAAAAGCTGACGGAGGCCAGGCACGGTGGCTCACACCTGTAATCCCAGCACTTTGGGAGGCCAAGGCAGGCAGATCACAAGGTCAGGAGATCTAGACCATCCTGGCTACCCCGGTGAAACCCTGTCTCTACTACGAATACAAAAAAAATTAGCCGGGCATGGTGGTGGGTGCCTGTAGTCCCAGCTACTTGGGAGGCTGAGGCAGGAGAATGGTGTGAATCAGGGAGGCAGAGCTTGCAGTGAGCCAAGATCGAGCCGCTGCACTCCAGCCTGGGGGACAGAGCGAGACTCTGTCTCAAAAAAAAAAAAAAAAGGCTGTGATAAACTATTTTGACATTTAAAATGTGACCATTTCAAAGTAATAAATTTACCATCTTACCTTGTTCTCTCTCAAAGCTTGCTTCCTCATCAGACAAAACTAGCCTGAAGTAAAAACAAAAAAAATGTAGATTTTTTGTTATAATACACTTGTGAATTATATTCCCCAAACAGTTTTATATGGTTAAAAAGAATTTTCTACTCAGAAAACATAAAATTGTCCACTAGATCCCCTAAAATCTACATCTGGTGAATTTCCTACTTCTTTTATAGATCTATACAGACATTTCACCCCTTATTCCTTCAATAAACATTTACTGAGTATCTACAAAGCACCAGGCATCATGCTCAGTACTCAATCTTCAAGAACCTTTACCATCAAAGTCATAGAATAAGAAGTTTCATTTTCAAGGCTTGAAAGGTTTTAAGAACACTTGTGAACTAAATCAAGGGAATGAAGAACTCTAGAAAAGATGTAGTACCCTATTTTGAACAACTAAGTGATATTTGCAAGACACATCAGCCTAAAATATCCTCAATCAATACTAATTTTGGGTATTTATAGCATCTTTCTGATATAATAAAGAAAAAGTTAAGACAAAGAAATTGGGCTGGGCACAGTGGCTCACGCCTGTAATCCCAGCACTTTGGGAGGCTGAGACAGGCGGATCACGAGGTTAAGAGTTCGAGACCAGCCTGACCAACATGGTGAAACCCTGTCTCTACTAAAAATACAAAAATTAGCCAGGTGTGGTGGCGTGTGCCTGTAATCCCAGCTACTCAGGAGGCTGAGGCAGGAGAATTGCTTTAACCTGGGGGGTGGAGGTTGCAGTGAGCCGAGATCGTGCCACTGCACTCTAGCCTGGGTGACAGGGCAAGACTCTGTCTAAAAACAAAAAAAGAAAGAAAAATAAATTGAACACAGACATACTCACTACACCTGGGGCATGACCTCACAGTTGCTAGTATTGAAAGTTGTTTTTAATACATCTTTAAAGATACTTAAAAATCTATACAGTATTTACTTGTAAATACTACACAAATAAACCTAAATAGCAAATAAATACTCATGACCTGAAATGAAATTTTCCCTAACAGTATTATGTTTTTTTAAAGAACTTGGATGGAAGAGAAGTGAAGAGCTTGGCTATCTACTAGTTAACTTGAAAAGTAGCTCTCATAATGCTAAAGATACATGAGAGGATTTTGAATAAAACTCTGTGAAATGTGAGAATGGAAAAATTTTACTAAATTAACATAGTTCATGTAACATATGATTTTAAATGTCAATATAGGCCAGGCATGGTGGCTTACTCCTGTAATCCCAGCACTTTGGGAAGCTGAAGTGGGCAGATCACTTGAGGTCAGGAGTTCGAGACCAGCCTGGCCAACATGGTGAAAGTCCATCTCTACTAAAAAATACAGAAATTAGCTGGGCTTAGTAGTGCATGCCTGTAATCCCAGCTACTCGGGAGGCTGAGGCAGGAGAATCGCTTGAACCTGGGAGGGGGAGGTTGCAGTGAGCTGAGATTGTGCCACTGAACTCCAGCCTGGACAAAAAGAGTGAGACACTGTCAAAAAAAAAAAAAAAAAATCAAAAGTCAATATATAAATTCACAAATTTAATTTATAACTAGACATTTGATCAATGTTTATCTTAAAACATTTATACATTCAAGTTAGCAAAAAAAATTGGTTTGGATTTCCTCATAGAGAAGATGGGAAAATGTCTTGTGTTACATTTGTGTCTTAGTTCATTTTGTGTTAACTATAACAGAATACCTGAGACTGAGTAATTTATAAAGAAAAGAGGTTGATTTAGTTCTGCAGGTTGGGAAGTTAAAGATCATGGCCCCGGCTTCTGACAAGGGCTTTAGTGCTGCATCATAACATGGTAGAGAAGGTCAAAGGGGAAGTGGACACATGCCAAGAGGCAAACTCCAAGGCACGTTGGGCTTTATAACAAACCACTCTCTCATGATCACCTTCTACTCAACAATATATGGTTTATCACTGGCCCTTATTTCTGAGTTTGTTAATATACTGAATCTGGTTAAAATGAGAATTAAATAGCAGCTTTGAAAGAAAAACAAAGGGACAATATAATAAAAGGGAAACAGGGGACATGAAGGATGTACATGGCAACAGCCCATATTTTCAGGTAACCAGTCCCAGTCCTATGTATGTTATTCTGGAAACAGATTTCTCATAGTTTATTTCACAGATGCTGGTACCTGTCCCTTTCTTCTCTCTAGCTGCCCATTTCAAGAGTCACTAGAGGTACTTGTGGCTCTTAATACAAGGCTCAGTATCCCAAATGACAGGCTCTTAATGACCCCAATCAGTTTGATACTCCTGTCATGTCCTTTGTCTGCTATGTTAAAAAATGTAAAAAATTTGTGTAGGATCTGGATATTAAGAAAAAAAATGGAAATATATCTCTATCTATCTATCTATCTATCTATCTATTTATCTATCTATCTATCTATGGTTTCAAAACAAATTGCTAAGGTTTGAATTTCTCCTCATCAAAACTCTTGTTGAAATCTGACCCCAACCTCAGTGTGGGAGTATTGGGAGGTGGAGACCTAATAAGAGGTGTTTGGGTCATGGGGGCAGATCCGTCATGAATGGTTTAGTGCCTTTTTCATGGTAATGAGTGAGTTCTTACTCTCATGAGATTGAATTAGTTCTCTCAGGAATGCTTCTGAATGGGTTGTTATACAGCCAGCACGCCCCTTGATTTTGCCTCTTCACACAGGTCTGCTTCCCCTTTGACCTTTTCTGCCATGTTATGAAGCAGCACTAAAGCTCTCACCAGAAACCAGGGCCATGCCCTTGAACTTCCCAGCCTGCAGAACCATGAGCTAAACTTTTTTACTTTATAAATTTCCCTGTCTCAGGTATTCTGTTAGAGCAAAACAGACTATGACACAAATGTTTAGTGTTGATTGGAAAAATGACATAGAAATAAATATTCAGTAAGAGAAGAAACAATTCTTTCCACATGTATCATATGATGGTATCCAGGACTTCTATAACATGACACAGATGACTTATGCCTGCTTACTTATTGAGCTGTTCAGTAAGAAAACCGCCTATTTGTTCATATTTATTGTCTTCAGCAAGCTTGCTTGGAGTGTCTTGTAGTTGCTAAGGATAAAAAAGTCAATGTTAAGTAAATAGAAAGACTGTTTCTTCCTCTCTGCAAAGAAAATGAGAATATAAATTCTAAAGAACCATATGAAATAGGAAGTTCCGAACTAGAGAGTGAAAGATATAGGACATATATGCTATTATAATCTGAACTGAGCTACTGAGCTTCATATACTTGTTTCTCCTGGCTGCCTGTGCAAACTGCACATACTGTGATGTGGGGTAGCCACAGATTAGTTTAACGACTTAGTAATAGGCCTAAAGAACACTTAAACTGTGTTGCTAGTCTGTATCGCAATGCTCTAAATACAGCTAAAGATTTTCAATTTTGATTCTGAGCAGAAATTGGATATAAAATGTGCCTAAATACACAGTATGCCATACAGCGACGCATTTATTATATAAAAAGTCAAAATAAAACAAAACAAAAAACAACCTAATTCAAGGGCGTCTTTGGGGCTGGAAGATGCCATATCAGACCATGACTTTATGTTCATCCTAAACCCCAGAAATATGCAAGATATGAGCCTATCACAAATACCACATCCAGCTTGAACAAACCAGCCAGCAACACTTTCAAGCTTTACTGAAAATAAGGCAGAATGAATGGTAAGTTAAAAGGTACTGAAACCTGGCATAATGTTGGTATCATGAACTATATCCATGACATCAGTGTAAAAGTAAAACAAAGTTTTTCTGTAACTTCTAATATCATCAGGTAGGTAATCTGTTCATTTTTGAGAACACATGACCACTTTCCATCACTTGTTCCTCTTAAGTTTTTCCTTTCCATAGCCTTATCTCCTTTGCATTTAAATTCTCTTTTTACTGTCTCCCTCTTTTTCCCTGTCCTACTAATATCTTGAGCCTGCCAGCAGTATTCCTATGTATTTCAGTGTTGCTGGCAGCATTTGCAATTAGGAAAATGCTGACCCTTGGCTGAAGGAGAATGTTTCTCAATGTTTTTTAAATTTTAAATTAACCTTGGTTAAAAAAAAAAAAATAGTTTCAATGTTATCACCTAAATGAAGTGTAATACATCTAAACAAGAGAACATGGAACGCAATGTACCTTGAGAGCTACAAAATCATATGGATGAAAGCCAATACAGGCTTCATGAATTTGGGACATCATTCGAGCTGTTTTCTCCCAGAATCCAAGCAGTGTTCTCTGCAAAAAAAGAAAAGGTGACACTACAGTTCTCCTTCACCTCCATGATTTTTGCTATATTTCCTTACTAGTTTAGTAGATGAACAGTTGCCAAATAAGAAGCAGCAGGAACTAAATTCAATTTTCCAAGTTTTCGGAACCATAAAGCACTGCAAATAGTGATTGTGCATAAGAATTGGCATCTTTGTCTGCACGTGTGGGTGTTATCTGTATAAATAGCACAGGAATGCACACTGGAGCCACCTAGAGAGTAACTGCAGCTAAGAGAATGAAAACTTAGGGATTAGAACATCTGAGATATCAAAAAGAGAAATGTTAAAAGCACAAAAATACCAGTCTCTGTTAAAGGAGGGACACATGTGTAATCTTTATGTTAATGGGAATATATAAAACTTTTTAATTGGAGAAAAATTACATTACCACTAAATCTGGCCTTTCATCTAGAGTTCAAGAGAGATTTGCCAAAAAATGTGTTCTCAAGCTAACTCAGGTAATTGGAAATTTTCCTCGCTGCTTCAGGGTTCCTGATTAAAGTGAGGGGGATGAATGGAGAGAATAAAGGAGAATTGAACTCATAGCTGTTGTGTTTCAGGCAAGATGCTAAATAGATACCACACACAGTTATTTTCAAGTGCATCCTTTCTCCATTCCTGAATCCCACAGTACTGAACTGAAATAGGCAGACTCCCTAAAAGCAGGAGTTAATGTCCATTTCCTGTAGTTTATTACTCTTTTCTTATGTAAGTACAGTTTGTTCAATTTTTTCCATTTAAAAATATATGTAAAAATCAATAACTGCTTATTAATATCTAACTTATTCATTGTGTGTTATTTATATGTGATTTGTGGTAATATAAGCACAAGTGAGACTTCTGAGGTTAAAGTGATACAGGATGGCAACTTGGCAGAATGAAAAGAACACAGAACTTAGAATTAGAAAACTTTGGTTTCTAAGCCCAACACTGCTATTCAAAGGAATCTAATCACACATAGTTTTTTGCACCCTCTAGACAACTTTTAAAAAGGAATCTCACCACTCATCTTTACTGCAAGGACATGCTGACCATGGAGGTGGGTACCTGGTAGGTAGTGAGCGAATGAGATAGCATATTGCAGCGACTAGCTCCAAGTAAATCCACTTTCTGACAAACATCCATCTTTAACTTGTCAAAAGAAGCTTTGCTATTTCTCACTTGCATCTGTACCTGCAATAAAATGCTAATTTTTATTACAGATATATAGTATATAGTACAAGGTTCATAATAAATATTTTCAGAAATAAATTATAATAAAGACTAATTCCTTTTCCCTGTATCATTAATATTTCATGAGTAATGATGACGATTTTGGCTACTGTTAGTAATTGTAGGAGATTCTTTCCAGAAGATATCTTTATGCTGAGAAAGTATGAGATAATAGATGGAAAGCAAATCGTTTTTAAAAAACTATTCCAAATAAAAAGAAACATTTAAAACTATTCATAGATAGCACTTAGCTAAGAGCAGAAGAATAAATGGAAAGGGGACCTCGTTAAAGCACTGAGAAATATTAATAATATTTCTGAATCATGCAGATATTTATAAATTCCAGTAGAGGCCTATTGTATTTCTTGAATAAATGGTGAGTCATGCCATCAGGTAGTGTGAATACTCAACTTTTTAATATATTCATTCAACAAATATAAGGTACCTATTATATGCAAGGCATTGTTCTAGGCTCTGAGATACTGTGGTGAACAAAACAATGTTCTTCCCCACCATCCTTGGGTAGGGAGGCACACGAAAAAAAGAAGTAAATAAATATATAGTTGCAAAAGTAGCAAATAAGTAAACAGAAATGAATGACTGATGACATGAAAGTCCCTGGTGAGATCATGCATGATGTTTGAACTGGGACAGAAAGATGATGAGCAGACTACGCTAAGACCCTGGGGAGAGCATTCCAGAACTAGGGACGAGCAAGGACAAAGGCTCTGAGAGTGGTAGGGGGTGAAGACCTTATCATGTTAGAAGAACAAGCAGCAAGGAGGTAGAGCACATTCTTCCTGGAGTGTAGGAAGCAAGTACAACATGTGGTTGTGGAGGGACCAGGGATCAGGCCATGCAGGGTTTTTAGGGTCCAGATAGGGACTTGGATTGTATTTGATGTGGTTTGACTGTGTCCCTGCCAAGATCTCATCTTGAATTCCCACATGTTATGGGAGGGACCCAGTGAGAGATAATTGAATCATGGGGGCAGGTCTTTCCCATGTTGTTCTTGTGATAGTAAGTCTCACAAGATCTGATAGTTTTAAAAGGGGGAATTTCCCTGTACAAGCTCTTTTTGCCTGCCACCATCCATGTAAGACGTGACTTGCTCCTCCTTGCCTTCTACCATGATTGTGAGGCCTCCCCAGCCACATGGAACTGTAAGTCCATTAAATATCTTTCCAGTCTCGGGTATGTCTTTATCAGCAGCATGAAAATAGACTAATACATTATTCTTCTTTTAAAAATTGAGGTGAAAGTTGCATAACATACAATTAGCAATTTTAAAGTGTTCAATTAAGTGGCATTTAGCGCATTCACAATGTTGTTCAATCACTCCCTTGGACTGTATTCTGTCAAAGGATGTAAAAGGGATGGAATACAAGGTTGTTGTGGCCTGAGGCCATGTATTCACCTACTTCATAGGGCTGTTGTGTGTAATCAATGAGGCAAACCACTTAACATCTGGCCCAGAGTCATGGCTCCATCAGTATTAAATATTATTTTTATTATGGGGTCTCTATTTATGAAATGAATGATAAAATGAATTTTGTTATTTATGTGTCATACAATGAGGGGTTATAATTTATAATAAGGAGTTTATTTAGCAAAAACATATGTTCATACATAGTTGCTTATGAAGTCTGTGGCCAAACTTTGTATTGTGACAGATTAAAAATTTTGATAACCTTCATATTTTCTTATAATTAATAATCATTTTACATGAGTTTTTACTTAAATTACTTTTGTCCCTCTGTAATAAACTATTTTCTTCCTACAACGAACTCAAAAGTTCAAGCAAGCACATTTAAGAAGTAATTTAGATCTATCATGAAACAGATAAAAAAATTAATAAAAAAGGTAGACGGTGTGAAGATGCCACTCCAGGAGTAAAAATCAAAGTGTGATAAACTTTTGTACTTCAACTACAGTCTCCAAGCAACCAAGAATGTATAATGAAACATATATTTCTCAACAAACACCTGAAATTTTATTATCTTAATTATTCTGTGGCAGTTCCATATTTCATACACCAAGAAAAGGAAAAGGATGCATTTTCATACTTTTCTAAACTTTTCCATTTGCTTTAAGGTGTCTGGGTCCAGCTCTTGGGATACATCTTTCATCCACAGCAGAGCTCCTCTGTATTCTGTGCGCGCCTGCTCCATCCGATTAATTGTCATCAAGGTATCAGATACCGCCCTTTGGCTGAATGTTGCTACTTCTTGCTTCAGACGAGACAGAGGAGTACACAGGGCCAATCTAATGGCAGAGAGGTAAAAATCAGAGGGTTGAACACATCATAAGTAAAACAAAACAAAGTTTAAACCAATGACAAAGCAAATTTGCTAACAAGATGAATCTACAAGTAAAAATTTATTAAGTTCCCTAAGGAGATTTTGAAAGCAAGTAAGGATCATATAGCCAACTCTGAATTATCAATAAATATGTGTTGGCCGGGAGCGGTGGCTCACGCCTGTAATCCCAACACTTTGGGAGGCCAAGGCGGGCAGATCACCTGAGGTCAGGAGTTTGCGACCAGCCTGGCCAACATGGCGAAACCCTGTCTCTACTAAAAATGCAAAAGATTAGCCGGGAATAGTGGGTAGGTGCCTGTAATCCCAGCTACTCGGGAGGCTGAGGCAGGAGAATCACTTGAACCCAGGAGGTGGAGGTTGCAGCAAGCCGAGATGGCACCACTGCACTCCAGCCTGGGCAACAGAATGAAACTCCACCTCAAAAAAAAAAAAAAAAAAAAAAAAAAAGGTGTCTAAACCTCCCCCAGTATTACTTTAGGAAATATGTCATTTTGCAATACTCTGGATGTTATTCCATGTATAAATAACCTGAGAAGTAAATGTGCCATTTAGAAAACAGTTCTGAGAGGAACAGAGAACCTGCATTCATAAAGCATAATCCAATTAACAGAAAGCCTTTCATTTGACAAGTTCAGGGAAAACCTGGGTTTGGAAGAGTAGATGAGATGCTAGGAGAACTAATGAGTATGGAGTTCTTAGCAGCTGAGGATGAGGACAAGATAACAAGTATTTAAGAAACACAAATTAAATCCAATTCCTCCTTTTTGCTTAGTGGCCATTGGAGGGCCCTGTACTTAGTACCTCCATGTCACTTCCTTCAAGATAGACTTCTGCACTGGCGTGATGTTTCAGAATAAAGCTATATAAATTGGATACCATCATTATAGGTCTGATAAGGACTGTTTTATTCTTCTTAAATGCTAAAGATTTGGGCTCGGTTTAGTAATTATAGGAGATTCTTTGCAGTAGGTATCATTATATTAGAAACTGAAATAATAACTGGAAACTATGTAATTAAGAAGAAAAAATTCTTCTAATTAAAAAGTACCACTGTATTTATAGTATGGTATCAAAGAGTGAAATTGGAAATACACATTTTTAAGATGTTAGTCATTCTGTGACTGTTATATTAAACCAGTTGAGAAATATAACTGACACTTGTCTGATTTTAGGGGAAATAAAAGAACATCAATCATTAATTATTTTGAATACAAAATTAGTAATTAAGAATTAGGTGTCGGCCGGGCGCGGTGGCTCAAGCCTGTAATCCCAGCACTTTGGGAGGCCGAGACGGGTGGATCACGAGGTCAGGAGATCGAGACCATCCTGGCTAACACGGTGAAACCCCGTCTCTACTAAAAAATACAAAAAACTAGCTGGGCGAGGTAGCGGGCGCCTGTAGTCCCAGCTACACGGGAGGCTGAGGCAGGAGAATGGCGTAAACCTGGGAGGCGGAGCTTGCAGTGAGCTGAGACCCGGCCACTGCACTCCAGCCCTGGCGACAGAGCAAGACTCTGTCTCAAAAAAAAAAAAAAAAAGAATTAGGTGTCAAAACATATAACTGTAGTATATTTCTCTTTAACCATTTATTTGAATGAACAGTGACCTTTACAAATATGCAAATTTAAGTACATATGTCAAAACTGTCAGATTGACTACGGATTCAAGATAATGAACCACCATGGTAAACCTTTGCTTGGCTGAAGAACAAAGTGCCTTGCCAGTGGCGTCCATCATTTTGCCAGCTTGAGTTGCATCCCGTTCCGCTTGAAACTTTAAAAAGAGCCCTAGCTCATTTTCTTCCTCTGATATAACTAGGAAAAAAATTACAGTGTAGTTAATTGTTTCCTTTCATCATTTGTTTAAAACATATACACAACTACAATTCTCACAGCAATCACTTTCTATACAAGATTTACTTGGGGGAAGAAGAAGAGAGACTTATTTTTTAAATGCAATTCCTGGGCTCCATTTCCAGAGACTCTACTTTCCATAGGTCTAGGGAATCTGGCTTCTTATCAGCACTCCAGATGGTTTCGACACAGTGAATCCATGGACCTCGCTTTGAGAAGGACTGATTTTTAGTGACAAAAATCTCTCAAAACTACAAAACAAAGCCATAAATGATGCATTTTCAAATGTGCAGAGATGTATTTTAGGATAATTGCCTCTTACAAAGTGTTTCCTATTTAAACTTGTTAATTCATTCTTGACTCCATCCTGGCTTCAGTTTCCTATGATTGGTATCCCAGACCCACAGATGTCCACAGTTCTGCTCCAGCAACCCTAAAAACTGTCATCTAGTGCACTGCTGCTCAAAGTGTGGGCGATGGACCAGTATCGGTCCAGAATCCTCTGTTACCAAGCTGTGACAAGCAAAGAAGTAAGGAAACTGAAAATAAGTGTGTAGAGACTTTGAGCATTTTATATTTGTCAAATCTAATAAAGTGAGCTTATAATACATTTTTCACGCATTTTATTTCATTTTTCTAAAAGTTATTTTTTTAAAAGATGGGATCTTGCTCTGATGCCCAGCCTGGAGTGCAGTGGCTTGATCATAGCTCACTGCAACCTCGAATTCCTGGGCTCAAGTGATCCTCCTGCCTCAGCCTCCTGAGTAGCTTAGACTACAGGCATGAGTGCTTGGCTAATTTTTTTTTTTTTTTTTTTTTTTTGAGACGGAGTCTCGCTCTGTCGCCCAGGCTGGAGTGCAGTGGCACGATCTCGGCTCACTGCAAGCTCCGCCTTCCGGGTTCACGCCATTCTCCTGCCTCAGCCTCCTGAGTAGCTGGGACTACAGGCGCCCGCCACCGTGCCTGGCTACTTTTTTGTATTTTTAGAGATGGGGTTTCACCGTGGTCTCGATCTCCTGACCTTGTGATCCACCCGCCTCGGCCTCCCAAAGTGCTGGGATTACAGGCGTGAGCCACTGCGCCCGGCCAAATTTTTAAAAAATTATTTTAGAGGCAGGGTCTCACTATGTTGCCCATGCTGGTCTCAAACTTCTAGCCTCAAGCCGTCTTTCCACCTTGGCCTCCCAAAACACTGGAATTACAGGCACAAGTCACAGTGCTCAGCTAAAAATTCATTTTTATTGAATTTTACAAAGGTATCAGTTTACAACAGATTGAAAGTAAACCATGCAACAAAAAAAAAAGTCCTTCACCACAATTTAAGAAATACTGATCTAGTGTAAGCTGATCCTGTAACCACAATAAGACTAATAAGGGGAGAAAACCCACTGCGCTCCAATTATAAGCTTAAAGTACATAAACAACAACAAATGTCATGCCTAATTTCATCCTACTTCATAGAAAATCAAAGTTAAAACTGAAAGGTAAATGCCTGGCTATTTGTGGGGCAGCAACAGAACTCAGGCCTCCTCATGCTGCCTCCCCACTCCCCCTGTCCCCGCCGCCATGCCTGTAAGAGTGACCCAAGGAGAGCACAATGGTGTAATGAGGAAGGTGTCTACACAGTCTGTAGTCTCATCTCTAATAAAACCATGAACAACCAACCTGATATACAGCAGATGCGGTTTGGGGAGTCACACTAATTTAATGCTGATGTACAGTTTACACATTTCCTTTGAATCAGAACTTCATAAAATATACCTCAATGAAAATTACTAGGGCTGGGCACGGTGGCTCACACCTGTAATCCCAGCACTTTGGGAGGCCGAGGCGCGTGGATCACGAGGTCAGGAGATCGAGACCATCCTGGCTAACACGGTGAAACCCCGTCTCTATTAAAAATACAAAAAATTAGCCAGGCATGGTGGCAGGCGCCTGTAGCCCCAGCTACTCGAGAGGCTGAGGCAGGAGAATGGTGTGAACCCGGGAGGTGGAGCTTGCAGTAAGCATAGATCGTGCCACTACACTCCAGCCTGGGTGACAGAGCGAGACTCCACCTCAAAAACAAAACAAAACAAAACAAAAAACCTACTAGAAAATATTCATTTGGGTATAGTGGTTCAGAAAGCACTTTGAATACATGGAATACTTCATTATCAACTATCAACTGAACATAAATGATCACTGAAGCTTACCTTTATCATTGCAGAAAGGGCAGTCAATGAGGCTGAATCTTTGCTGCTTTTATGTTGAGACCTGCCTGCCAAAATCTACAGAGACCCCTCCCTGACGTGTTCTCCCCGCAGTCAAGAGATTCCCATAAATTTATGGTGCTGGACTAACCTACTGCATTTGTCTGATGTTACTCCCAACAGATGTATTAATACAATTGTCTTCAAGAAATCACGTATTTATACACAATCTTGAAGCGAAAATACACAATTAAATCTATATATGTATATCTCTTCCTTATCCTGAAATGCTCTACCAGAGTGCTAAAAGATCTAGTGATTTCAGGGTATATAAACTTGCTGATTTTCTTCACATTTTCATTTCTAAGACAGGACTCACTTGGTCCAGTGATTGTGATGGCCTTTTACTGCTTGGTAAAATATATAACGTCATTAGTAATATGACCCCTAATTTCCTTTGTTCCTTTATCCTCCCATTAGTTTCAACGACAAACTCTTCTGTCCATGCAGGCTGTTCTCATTCTTTAAGCTCTTTAAACTCCAAGTCTCTTCTCTACATGTTCAACTTCTATAAATCCTTTAAGTTTTACCTCAATTCCTGTCTATGGAGTTGCCTTTACCAATTACTCTAATCCATGGTTATTTTTCACTCCTAGGAATTCAGTTATGTCTATATCATTATTCTGAACTCAATTACATACTACTTATATTGTCTCTCTTTTTGTTACAAAAGTTGTTTCTCCAACTATTTCCTTGGGAAAAGCACATGGTAGGTAGTCAAAAAAATACTTGAATAATCATGCTTTATTGGATTTCTTTCTTTAATGGGACAATATATAAGATCTGATTATAAAGCGATGAAATTAATTTACATAGCTACATGAGAAAAATTATTGATTCATTGAAATCAAATATTTATCGAGTACTGACTACATGTTAGACCATTGTTTCTAGACTGTAGACACAGAAATATAACAGAAAAATTCTGTCCTGGCCAGGTGCAGTGGCTCACGCCTGTAATCCCAGCACTTTGGGAGGCCAAGGCGGGTGAATCACAAGGATAGGAGTTCAAGACCAACCTGGCTAAGATGGTGAAACCCCATCTCTACTAAAAATACAAAAATTAGCCGGGCGTGCTGGTGAGCACCTATAATCCCAGCTACTTGGGAGGCTGAGGCAGAGCACTGCTTGAACCCGGGAGGCAGAGGTTGCAGTGAGCTGAGATCGCGCCACTGAACTCCAGCCTGGGCGACAGAGTGAGACTCCGCCTCAAAAAAAAAAAAAAAAAAAAAAAAAAAGAAGTCTGCCCTTAGAGAGGGCATATTCTAGTGGTGGGAAGAAAAACAATGGACAAAATATATAGAATGTTGAATATTGTTAACTGGACAGGGAGTTTTGAGAGAAAAGAGTATTGCATTGCATTGTATTGTATTGTATTTTTTGTACCCTCTGAGGGCAGAGAGTATTGCATTTTAGATATGCAGTTCAGGGAGGGCCTCATTTAAAAAGATGACATTTGACCAAATACACAAAGGAAGTTAGGGATTCCACTATGCAGATATGCCTACTATGTAAGGTATTAATATGGCTAAAGGGGAGAAAGTTTTAGGAGGTGTGATTAGAGAGGTAGCCATGTCCAGCAGGCCCATGGTAATTAAAAAAGGAGAAGTGATCCAAAGATTGAGTTTTAACCCGAACAGGTCCAGGAGAGAAGAGAATCAGCAAAGGCAGGATGCCAAGAAAGAGTGACCAGGAGGAGGAAAATCTGGAAAGCCAAGTGAAGAAAGTGTATCAAGGAATAGGAAATAATCAACTGTGTTAAATAATGTGATAAGCCAGATTTAGATAGGAGTTGGTTAATCATGACCTTGACAAGAGAAATTTGGTGGAGTGATGCGGATGAAAACTTGACTGGAGTGAGTACAAGAGAAAGTGGAAGGAAAGGAACAGAGACCATGCATACAGACAATTACATCATGTTTTTCTGTAAACAGCAGCAGAGGAATGAAATTTAATTGCAAGGGCAAGTGGGAGGCAAGAAAGAGAGGTTTAAGTGATGGAAACAAATCCATTTCAGATGCTGGGCAGGCCCAGGCATGGTGACTCACACCTGTAATCCCAGCACTTTGGGAGGTCGAGGCAGGAGGATCACTTGAGACCAGGAATTTGAAACCAGTCTGGGCAGCATAGTGAGATCCTGTGTCTACCAAAAAGTACACAAATTAGCCAGGTATGGTGGCACACGCCTGTAATCCCAGCTACTTGGTAGGCTGAGGCGGGAGGATCACTTGAGCCCAGGTGGTGGAGACTGTAGTGAGCTGTGATCGCACCGCTGCACTCCAGCCTGGGTGATAGAGAAAGACCCTGTCTCAAAGAAAAAAAAGGGTATCAGCAAAACATAAATCTGGGTTAGAGGATTTGATTAACTGAGGAGAAAAGAGAGAATACTGGGGCGCCTTTGAGAACAGGTCACTGTAAATATTCATATTCTGCCATAAGATGCTATTCACAAAATTGTTCTACTATTACATTAAATCTTTCATTTTAAAAAATGCTAATATTTATTTTAAATGGGAATTATCAGATAGATATCTAGGATTTCATACCATTGAGTCTTAGCTGGTATTTCTCGACTATCTTCAGAAGTTCAGTGCATGTCTCTTGAACGGAGTGAAAAACCTTGAGATATAAATTTTATTAAGACAATTTAAAGAACTATAAACAAACATATGTTATAAGCACTCCAAAAGCATAACATTTTCTTGTAAGTATTATATCTGTTGTAAAAACATTATGTCTATTTTCCTTGGCTATGACGTGTGCTTTAGTTTTGGTTTTACTTCCTATGTAGAAAGCACATTCCCCATGAGAGCTGGAAAAAATGATAATAAATATATGGGAGCAAACAAAAAATTAAAAGTGACGAGTTTGTCCTCATCTCAGCTCCAAACAATCTAAATAACAAAAACATAAATCTAATATAAACTGCATCAAATATTGCCAACCACAGATGAACAGAGTGTAGATAACCTTACAAAGTGTTAACTCCGAGTCTGGCTTTTCTTCCATACTGGTCTAAGCAAAACAGATTGGTGAATTTACTATAAAAATTAAATAATGTATTATAACATCAAATATAAATTATTTTTAGATTTTTTAAAGAATTTTCTATAGATATTAATTCTTTCATTACTACTGCTGCTAATTGCTAACAGAAAAGGAAATATCCAGTAGACTCTGGTTTCAAAATTAAGCACATGAAAATTTGAGATGAGGCCACACTATATACATGATATAAATCTTCAACAAATTAATACATGTAGGTGTTCCCAGATAAACAAGCCAGCGTAAGTTTTAGAGTATAGCTACAATGAGGATTTTTTTTTTTTTTTTTTTTTTTTTTGAGGTGGGGTCTCACTCTGTCGCCCAGGCTGGAGTTCAGTGGTGCAATCTCGGCTCACTGCAACCTCTGCCACCTGGGTTCAAGCAATTCTTCTGCCTCAGCCTCCTCAGTAGCTGGGATTACAGGTGCCTGTTACCATGCCCGGCTAATTTTTGTATTTTTAGTAGAGACAAGGTTTCACCATCTTGGCCAGGCTGGTCTTGAACTTCTGACCTCGTGATCCACCTGCCTCAGCCTCCCAAAGTGCTGGGATTAGAATTTTTTTTTTTTTTTTAATAGCAAGGCCTGTCTGTTCAGAATCTACACTAAAGAATTTTTTTTTTTTTTTTTGAGACGGAGTCTCACTGTGTCTCCCAGGTTGGAGTGCAGTGGCGTGATCTCCACTCACTGCAAGCTCCGTCGCCTCCCGGGTTCACGCCATTCTCCTGCCTCAGCCTCCTGAGAAGCTGAGACTACAGGCGCCCACCACCATGCCCGGCTAATTTTTTTGTATTTTTAGTAGAGATGGGGTTTCACCGTGTTAGCCAGGATGGTTTCGATCTCCTGACCTCATGATCCACCCGCCTAGGCCTCCCAAAGTGCTGGGATTACAGGCGTGAGCCACCGCACCCAGCTACACTAAAGAATGACTTAGTTCAAAAAGACCTTGGTACTGGTGTATAATACTAAGCCCTAACCCTTTGATTTTTCAGATGCCTAATATCATCAAAAAGCCTGAACATTCTATCTCTGGAGCAGTTTTTATTATTATTTTGATGTTTGATCAAGCCTAAAGAAGGTAGATAATAAACACGAAAAGCGTAAAAGGAGGAGCAGGCATCGATTTTCCTTATGACTTTAGACATGTTTGAAGTGCATTTGGTATCTGGATTTGGCAATTGTAAAATCTGTTTTAAATGCATATGGAAGAAGATTAGAAAAGAATACAAAAGACTGGGCACGGTATCTCACCGCTCCTGCCTGTAATCCCAGCACTTTGGGAGGGAGGCCGAGGTGGGTGGATCGCCTGAGTTCGAGAGTTAGAGACCAGCCTGCCCAGCATGGTAAAACCCTGTCTCTACTAAAAATACAAAAATTAGCCAGCCATGGTGGCAGGCTCCTGTAATCCCAGCTCTTTGGGAAGCTGAGGCAAGAGAATTGCTTGAACAACCCTGGAGGCGGAGGTTGCTGTGAGCTGAGATCATGCCACCGCACTCTAGCCTGGGCAACACAGCAAGAGTCCATCTCAAAAAAAAAAAAAAAAGAATACAGAAAAGATAGTTCTACCAAGATGACGTGATTATGCTTGATATTTTTTCCATAGGTTTACGTACTATTTTTATTTTTATAATAAAACTGTTTCTCATTTTTAAAAATACAAATGTGGGAGAAAGTTCTTGGTTGATTCCAAATACTTATCTAATGGCCAGATTTACACTGAATATAAAACATGTCACCCACAGATGACCTAACAATGTAAAACAATACCAAAACCTCATACATTCCCACTTCTATGGAAATATATCTGGAACAAGTTCCTGTTGCGTTAAAACATACAACACTAATAATAATAAAGTCTTCATTTTTACACATTTGTCACTGAAGCCTAGGAATACTTTTCAATACAAATAGTAAAATCTTGTCAAATTTTTTATCTATTTCCATATTTGTTTTGGCAGTAAGTTTACTTTTTGCAGAATGAAAATACTTGATCAAGACCAGTTTAATTAGACCCATATTTTTAAGAATCCCACCATAATGATTATATTCCAAGTATAACAGAATCCCTGCTTAGAAATATTTGTAAGAATTAGCTTAAATTAGTGTGTGTGTGTGTATATATATATATATATTTATATGTTGAGTTAGTAAATCTGCATTTAAAAATTCAGACATTTGAGCTGGGCATGGTGGCTCGCACCTATAGTCCGAGTACTTTGGGAGGCTGAGGCAGGTGGATCACCTGAGGTCGGGAGTTTGAGACCAGCCTGACCAACATGGAGAAACCCTGTCTCTACTAAAAATACAAAATTAGCTGGGAATGGTGGTGCAGGCCTGTAATCCCAGCTACTCGGGAGGCTGAGGCAGGAGAATCGCTTGAACCCAGGAGGCGGAGGTTGTGGTGAGCCGAGATTGCGCCATTGTGCTCCAGCCTGGGCAACCACAGTGAAACTCTGTCCAAAAAAAAAAAAATCAGACTTTTTTATTCATTTATATTATACTCTTCTCTATTTAGCCTAATTACTTTAAACCATTTATTGGTTTAAAATTGTTTCACGGCAATTATTTAAAATAAAAAACAGTCAAAAAAGGCATTAGGAAATATTTCAATAACTCTATCTTTTAATAAAATAGAAACAATAACTATTATATTCATTCGCTGTTTGATTTTAATTATTTCAATGAGGTATAAGACTTCACATCAAAGTACTACAAAATAGTATGACTTGATATATAATGAGTACATGGTCTCAATTGGGAATGTAATTAATTCATTAAGACTTGGCTTAAAAACCATAATATGTGTGCCAGAGAAACTACTTTATTCATATTTTATCTAAGTTCGTGAATACCAATTTTGCAAATTTTCACTTTGTAAGAACTGTGACCTCCTAGTTAGAGCTCTGATTGACAGGTGGATACAACTAAATATTCTATTATCCCCATAACCTCTCCACTGTGAAAACTTGTTGCAGTCCCCCTTGGAGCCCCAAATAATGGCCGGTTATATGCAATACATAGAATGCTCAAATTTACCTCAAGTTTAGCATCCAGTTCAGCATCAGACGCCACCAAGTGCTCATCCTCTTTTTTTCCTGTTGCTTTGATAAAGACCTGTTTAGTTTTCCAGTATTTCTTTTGCATTCTGCTGACTACTGACTGATTATCTTCTGGTCTGGGTTGCCCAAAGGAATCCATGGAGTGACTACAATGAACAGACTAAAATTAAACTTCTTGTAAAAATTCTCAAAAAAGCGCTAACGTAGGGGGGCGGAGCAAGATGGCCGAATAGGAACAGCTCCAGTCTCCAACTCCCAGCGCGAGCGACACAGAAGACCGGCGATTTCTGCATTTTCAACTGAGGTACTGGGTTCATCTCACTGGGGAGTGCCAGACGATCGGTGCTGGTCAGCTGCTGCAGCCCGACCAGCGAGAGCTGAAGCAGGGCGAGGCATTGCCTCACTTGGAAAGCGCAAGGGGGAAGGGAATCCCTTTTCCTAGCCAGGGGAACTGAGAAACACAACACCTGGAAAATCGGGTAACTCCCACCCCAATACTGCGCTTTAAGCAGACAGGCACACCAGGAGATCATATCCCACACCTGGCCGGGAGTGTCCCACACCCACGGAGCCTCCCTCATTGCTAGCACAGCAGTCTGTGATCTACCGGCAAGGCAGCAGCGAGGCTGGGGGAGGGGCGCCCGCCATTGCTGAGGCTTAAGTAGGTATACAAAGCTGCTGGGAAGCTCGAACTGGGTGGAGCTCACAGCAGCTCAAGGAAACCTGCCTGTCTCTGTAGACTCCACCTCTGGGGACAGGGCACAGTAAATAATAACAAACGCAGCAGCTCTGCAGACGCAAACGACTCTGTCTGACAGCTTTGAAGAGAGCAGTGGATCTCCCAACACGGAGGTTGAGATCTGAGAAGGGACAGACTCCCTGCTCAAGTGGGTCCCTGACCCCTGAGTAGCCTAACTGGGAGACATCCCCCACTAGGGGCAGTCTGACACCCCACACCTCACAGGGTGGAGTACACCCCTGAGAGGAAGATTCCAAAGCAAGAATCAGACAGGTACACTCGCTGTTCAGAAATATTCTATCTTCTGCAGCCTCTGCTGCTGATACCCAGGCAAACAGGGTCTGGAGTGGACCTCAAGCAATCTCCTACAGCTACAACCTACAGCTGAGGATCCTGACTGTTAGAAGGAAAGCTATCAAACAGGAAGGACACCTACACCAAAACCCCATCAGTACATCACCATCATCAAAGACCAGAGGCAGATAAAACCACAAAGATGGGGAAAAAGCAGGGCAGAAAAGCTGGAAATTCAAAAAATAAGAGCGCATCTCCCCCGGCAAAGGAACGCAGCTCATCGCCAGCAACAGATCAAAGCTGGACGGAGAATGACTTCGACGAGATGAGAGAAGAAGGCTTCAGTCCATCAAATTTCTCAGAGCTAAAGGAGGAATTACGTACCCAGCGCAAAGAAACTAAAAATCTTGAAAAAAAAGTGGAAGAATTGATGGCTAGAGTAATTAATGCAGAGAAGCTCACAAACGAAATGAAAGAGACGAAAACCATGACACGAGAAATACGTGACAAATGCACAAGCTTCAGTAACCGTCTCGATCAACTGGAAGAAAGAATGTCAGCGATGGAGGATCAAATGAATGAAATGAAGCGAGAAGAGAAACCAAAAGAAAAAAGAAGAAAAAGAAATGAACAAAGCCTGCAAGAAGTATGGGATTATGTAAAAAGACCAAATCTACGTCTGATTGGGGTGCCTGAAAGTGACGGGGAAAATGGAACCAAGTTGGAAAACACTCTTCAGGATATCATCCAGGAGAACTTCCCCAACCTAGTAGGGCAGGCCAACATTCAAATCCAGGAAATACAGAGAACGCCACAAAGATACTCCTCGAGAAGAGCAACTCCAAGACACATAATTGCCAGATTCACCAAAGTTGAAATGAAGGAAAAAATCTTAAGGGCAGCCAGAGAGAAAGGTCGGGTTACCCACAAAGGGAAGCCCATCAGACTAACAGCAGATCTCTCGGCAGAAACTCTTCAAGCCAGAAGAGAGTGGGGGCCAATATTCAACATTCTTAAAGAAAAGAATTTTAAACCCAGAATTTTATATCCAGCCAAACTAAGTTTCATAAGTGAAGGAGAAATAAAATCCTTTACAGATAAGCAAATGCTTGGAGATTTTGTCACCACTAGGCCTGCCTTACAAGAGACCCTGAAGGAAGCACTAAACATGGAAAGGAACAACCGGTACCAGCCATTGCAAAAACATGCCAAAATGTAAAGACCATCAAGGCTAGGAAGAAACTGCATCAACTAACGAGCAAAATAACCAGTTAATATCATAATGGCAGGATCAAGTTCACACATAACAATATTAACCTTAAATGTAAATGGACTAAATGCTCCAATTAAAAGACACAGACTGGCAAACTGGATAAAGAGTCAAGACCCATCAGTCTGCTGTATTCAGGAGACCCATCTCACATGCAGAGACATACATAGGCTCAAAATAAAGGGATGGAGGAAGATTTACCAAGCAAATGGAGAACACAAAAAAGCGGGGGTTGCAATACTAGTCTCTGATAAAACAGACTTTAAACCATCAAAGATCAAAAGAGACAAAGAAGGCCGTTACATAATGGTAAAGGGATCAATTCAACAGGAAGAGCTAACTATCCTAAATATATATGCACCCAATACAGGAGCACCCAGATTCATAAAGCAAGTCCTTAGAGACTTACAAAGAGACTTAGACTCCCATACAATAATAATGGGAGACTTCAACACTCCACTGTCAACATTAGACAGATCAACGAGACAGAAAGTTAACAAGGATATCCAGGAATTGAACTCATCTCTGCAGCAAGCAGACCTAATAGACATCTATAGAACTCTCCACCCCAAATCAACAGAATATACATTCTTCTCAGCACCACATCGTACTTACTCCAAAATTGACCACGTAATTGGAAGTAAAGCACTCCTCAGCAAATGTACAAGAACAGAAATTATAACAAACTGTCTCTCAGACCACAGTGCAATCAAATTAGAACTCAGGACTAAGAAACTCAATCAAAACCGCTCAACTACATGGAAACTGAACAACCTGCTCCTGAATGACTACTGGGTACATGACGAAATGAAGGCAGAAATAAAGATGTTCTTTGAAACCAATGAGAACAAAGATACAACATACCAGAATCTCTGGGACACATTTAAAGCAGTGTGTAGAGGGAAATTTATAGCACTAAATGCCCACAAGAGAAAGCAGGAAAGATCTAAAATTGACACTCTAACATCGCAATTAAAAGAACTAGAGAAGCAAGAGCAAACACATTCGAAAGCTAGCAGAAGGCAAGAAATAACTAAGATCAGAGCAGAACTGAAGGAGATAGAGACACAAAAAACCCTCCAAAAAATCAATGAATCCAGGAGTTGGTTTTTTGAAAAGATCAACAAAATTGACAGACCACTAGCAAGACTAATAAAGAAGAAAAGAGAGAAGAATCAAATCGACGCAATTAAAAATGATAAAGGGGATATCACCACCGACCCCACAGAAATACAAACTACCATCAGAGAATACTATAAACACCTCTACGCAAATAAACTGGAAAATCTAGAAGAAATGGATAATTTCCTGGACACTTACACTCTTCCAAGACTAAACCAGGAAGAAGTTGAATCCCTGAATAGACCAATAGTAGGCTCTGAAATTGAGGCAATAATTAATAGCCTACCAACCAAAAAAAGTCCAGGACCAGATGGATTCACAGCTGAATTCTACCAGAGGTACAAGGAGGAGCTGGTACCATTCCTTCTGAAACTATTCCAATCAATAGAAAAAGAGGGAATCCTCCCTAACTCATTTTATGAGGCCAACATCATCCTGATACCAAAGCCTGGCAGAGACACAACAAAAAAAGAGAATTTTAGACCAATATCCCTGATGAACATCGATGCAAAAATCCTCAATAAAATACTGGCAAACCGGATTCAGCAGCACATCAAAAAGCTTATCCACCATGATCAAGTGGGCTTCATCCCTGGGATGCAAGGCTGGTTCAACATTCCCAAATCAATAAACATAATCCAGCATATAAACAGAACCAAAGACAAGAACCACATCATTATCTCAATAGATGCAGAAAAGGCTTTTGACAAAATTCAACAGCCCTTCATGCTAAAAACGCTCAATAAATTCGGTATTGATGGAACGTACCTCAAAATAATAAGAGCTATTTATGACAAACCCACAGCCAATATCATACTGAATGGGCAAAAACTGGAAAAATTCCCTTTGAGAACTGGCACAAGACAGGGATGCCCTCTCTCACCACTCCTATTCAACATAGTGTTGGAAGTTCTGGCTAGGGCAATCAGGCAAGAGAAAGAAATCAAGGGGATTCAGTTAGGAAAAGAAGAAGTCAAATTGTCCCTGTTTGCAGACGACATGATTGTATATTTAGAAAACCCCATTGTCTCAGCCCAAAATCTCCTTAAGCTGATCAGCAACTTCAGCAAAGTCTCAGGATACAAAATTAATGTGCAAAAATCACAAGCATTCTTATACACCAGTGACAGTCAAACAGAGAGCCAAATCAGGAATGAACTTCCATTCACAATTGCTTCAAAGAGAATAAAATACCTAGGAATCCAACTTACAAGGGATGTAAAGGACCTCTTCAAGGAGAACTACAAACCACTGCTCAGTGAAATCAAAGAGGACACAAACAAATGGAAGAACATACCATGCTCATGGATAGGAAGAATCAATATCGTGAAAATGGCCATACTGCCCAAGGTAATTTATAGATTCAATGCCATCCCCATCAAGCTACCAATGAGCTTCTTCACAGAATTGGAAAAAACTGCTTTAAAGTTCATATGGAACCAAAAAAGAGCCCGCATCTCCAAGACAATCCTAAGTCAAAAGAACAAAGCTGGAGGCATCACGCTACCTGACTTCAAACTATACTACAAGGCTACAGTAACCAAAACAGCATGGTACTGGTACCAAAACAGAGATATAGACCAATGGAACAGAACAGAGTCCTCAGAAATAACACCACACATCTACAGCCATCTGATCTTTGACAAACCTGAGAGAAACAAGAAATGGGGAAAGGATTCCCTATTTAATAAATGGTGCTGGGAAAACTGGCTAGCCATAAG